CAGGATTCAATAAATATCTAATGAGCACCTAATGTGTGTCAAGTGCTTAACAGCATTTACACAATAAAAGTATAAGTAAATATTGTATATAATATTTTAGATGATGATTGCTGTTATGGGGAGAAATAAGGAAGAAATAAGAAAGAGAGAGAGATGATCTAGGGATATTGAAATTTTTAATTGAGTAGTCAGAGAAGACGTGAAGTTCTAATCTAAGCTCTTTAGATTAGAAGGCATGAAGTTCCTGATGAAGGCTTGGGGAAAACCATGGGAATATTTGAAAAAAGGACATTCCCTGCAGGGGAAAATGCATGATTATAGGCACTAAGTTGGAGCTATGCTTGGTATATTTGGAGAATAACAAGGAGGCCAGTGTGGCTAGAAGGAGTTGCGGTCTAAGAGGAAATAATGAAAGCTAGATTGTGTATGACATTGTAGGACATTGTTAATGACTTTCATTTGAGCAGAGGAATGACAGGCTCTAACATGTTTTCATGGAATTGCACCAGTCACTGTGCAGAGCATAGACTGAAGGGAGATAAGGGTGAAAACAGGGACAGCAATTAGTAGGTTGTTGCAATGTCAACACAACAGATCATGATGGTCTGACCCAGATTGCAGCAGCAGAAATGAACAGAAGCTTTCAGATGCTGAACATCATTTGAAAGGGAGCTGACAGGATTTGCTGATGCATGACATGTGAGGTGGAAGGGAAAGAGAGAGTAGAGGAACGCCCTATGGTCTCTGGATTGAGCAAACAGAAAGATGAAGTCATTATTAACCAAGCTGGAAAGAGTAAGATTTGGGGAGAGAGATTAAGAATTTATTTTGAGCATGTTAACTTTGAAATGCCTATCAGATACCCAGAAAGAGATGTCAAATAGTAGATGGATACATTAGTCTGGAGTTCTGTAGAAAGGCCTAGACTCCAGTTAAAAATTTTAATTTCATCTTAAATTTTTATTGAATTATCTATAGATCTATTGCTTATATATTTGCCTAAATCTGGAAGAGAAGACAAAGTCTAATGCAATGGAAAACAAGAAGTAGATAACTTAAAGCCATATGAATAGATTAAATTACTCTATTTTCCAATACTAATAGTTATCATTGAACCTTACTGTATTTAATTAAACATTAACCTTCAAAGTAGCATTAAAAACAGAATACTTGATATGCTACCTACAACACACCCCTCTTCTATTTTTAGTTATGCAGAAAAGCAACTAGAGAAAAAGTTATTTCTAAGGAAAATATACCTTATAGAGGAATCAGTTTTAGATCTGATTAAAAAATAGAATTTCCAGGGGCACCTGGGTAACTCAGTTGGTTAAGCGTCCAACTTTGGCTCAGGTCATGATCTCATGGTTTTTGGGTTTGAGCCCTCCGTAAGGTTCTGTGCTGACAGCTCAGAGCCTGGAGCCTGCTTCTGATTCTGTGTCTCCCTCTCTCTCTGCCCCTTCCCTGTTTGCTCTCTCTCTCTCCCTCTCTCTCTCAAAAATAAACATTAAAAAAATTTTTAATTGAATTTCTATAAAAGGTAGAACTTCCATAATTTACTTAAATCTCGTAGCCACTAAATTTGAACTCAGACCACCTGAAGAGAAAACAAATTTAGACATATGGGTGATTTGAGGGTTCAGGAAAGTTTTAAGTGAAAAGGTGGCATGTGAGATAGAATTTCACTGATTATAAAGGTAGAGACTTAGAAGAGGGGGTACTGTGATCTAAGTCAAGTTCAACTATAGTTTATAATTCATATTGGCAATTACAAACAGAAAGGCTGTACAATAACTGGGGAACATACTGTGTTAGAAGGACTTACAGTTTGTCAAGCAATGGAAAGCTATCAAGGTGTCAGAGTGAGATGTTCAGAAATACATTTTATCAAGTCTTGTCTGGTAATTACACAACAGGAGAAGGGACAAATTTATAGACCACTGGATGTGTTCAGGACAAATAAGACAGTAGCAATAAGAAATAAATACATTTTTAGATCTATTTTGGTGGTTGAATTCATGGAACAGGCAAATGAATCAAAAGATGACAGGGTTAGAATTTGAAGGAAGTTTAGAGATGATCCTGGTCAATTTGTCTTTTTATGTCTGACCTTTAGGTAGGCAGATGTCCCCCAAGATTCCTGGCCCCTGTATACTCCCCTCCGTGCAGTTTTTCAACCAAGCACTGCTATAGGTGCTGATATGGAAAAGTTTTTTCAGCTGTAATTAAGAAACCAAATCAGTTAAGGAATATACTTGTGATAAGCCCTGGGTGTTGTATGGAAATGTTGAATCATTATAGTGTACACCTGAAGCCAGTATTACACTGTTAACTGAAATTTAAATGAAAACTTTTAAAAAATAAAAAATAAACAAAAGAGGCAGAGATTATCCAGTAGACCTGATTTTATAGCATGAGTCCTTTAAAAGCAGAGAGTTTTCTTTGGCTCATTACAGAGGAAGTAACATATTCTAGACAAGAGATATATTCAATGTACAAAAATTTATCCATTGCTGCTTTTGAAGAAGAGGGCCATATGGTAAAGAATCTAGGACTATCTTTAGAAATTAAGAGCAACCTCTTGGCTATGAGCCAGCCAGGAGATGGGAATCTGAGATCTACAACTGTAAGAAACCAAATTCTGCCACAAACTTGTGAGCTTAGAAGAGGATTGAGCTCCACATGAGAATACAGCTGAATGACACCTTGATTTCAGCTTGTGAATCTCTGGGTAAGGAATCCAGGCATAACATAGCCAAACTTCTGACCAACAGAACTGTGTAATAAGCAATAAGTGTTGTTTTAAACCACTAAATTTGTGGTAACTTGTGACATGACAATAGAAAACTAATATAATTTCCTCCTATAAAATGACCAATTTCTACTTTTCTGGCCTCTGCTTAAATATGTAGAGCAAAAGGAAACTCAAAATCTTGAGGGGCTTCTTTTAAAATTTATTTCCAGATACCTCTATTAGTTTGTCCTTCATTGGGTTTTTAAAATGTTTTTATTTATTTATTTATTTGAGGAGAAGAGGGGGCAGAAAGAGACAGAGAGAGAGAATCCTAGGCAGGCTCTGTGCTGCCAGTGCAGAGCCCAATGTGGGGCTTGATCTCATGAACTATGAGATCATGACCTGAACTGAAATCAAGAGTCAGACGTTTAACCTACTGAGCCACCCAGGTGCCCCTGTACCTCATTGTTTTGAACTGATAGTCACCCTCCTATAAATATTAATTCTACTCTGAAAACCCACCTTCAATAGGCCTAATCCTTTTTTCTTTTTTTAATTTTTTTAAAATTTTATTTTAGAGACAAGGAGAGGAACACACACAGAGAGAGAGAGAGAGAGAGAGAGAGAATGAGAGAGAGAGAGAGAGAGAGAGAGAGAGAGAAAATGAATCTTAAGCAGGCATCACACTCAGTGCATAGCCTGATGTGAGACTGGATCCCACAACTCTGGGATCATGATCTAAGCCAAAATCAAGAACCATATGCTCAACCAACTGAGCCACCCAGGTGCCCTCTAATCCTCTTTTCATTGCCACTTTGTTCCAACATGTACACCAAAGATCTAGAAAGGTTTTGATTCTACATTCATATCAATAAAAAAGATTAATTACTCCAAAACATGTATGCTTATTATTTATTATATACACATACAAATATCAATCTACATACTAGACTGTGTCTCTGAAGGTCTAGAGTAATGCTTGCAACAAAACAGGCATTCAATAAATATTTTTTTTTAATGTATGAGCAAATGAGTAAGAGAGAGTAACAGGAGATTTGATTTAGATAAATGGTCCGGAAAGGCTTTAATTTAATCAGATAACTAAAAGAGAAGATGTAGCTTCCTAGGTGAAAACATCAGGATGTGTTAAGATTCTGAGGGAAAAGAGAGTAGTTTTTAGGAACCCTTAAGAAACATATCTGAGTCCACAAGGACATGGATAAAGGTAGGAAGCTGGAGATAAAAGCCAGAATCAGATAATGTTGAGCCTTGTGAAGTGGATTCAAGATTTTTAGTTTTATCCCTAAGAGCAGTGGGGATACTTGAGAAGTTTAATATTGACTTTTCATCTGCATTAAAACCATAGACTCTCTTCTTTCCTGGGAAACAGGGAGTATTTCCCTCTCTTTTGAGTCCATGATCAACCACCCCTTCCATGTTCAATTTCCCTTACCTAGGGTTTACTAAGCAATTAAAGTGGCAAGAAAAAGGGATGCATTAGTTATCCAATGAACTGGAGAAGGCAAGAGTCTACCCTTTTCCTAATTCAACAAAAGGGATGACTAAATGCCCATGGTTCGATGACCAATTTTCCCCCCTCCAATATTCAGATCTTAGGAATGAAGACTCCAATGGCAAAATATGTTACATAGTAAAAATTTTCAGCAGATTAATTCTGGTTCACAGACCTTGTGTTTTCCAAATAAATAACACAGAGGGGGGAAAAGAGGTCTAAAAGGATAATAATTTAACTTGATAAGGAAAAAAGAAGAATTTTTTGTAACCTGACTAAAGGAAGAGGAACAACAATTGAGTTGCCCTCCATTTGACAGACACAGTGATGGACCTTCCACAGATACACAGTGTCTGGCACATACTGGGCACTCAATAAGTGTTGACTGTATGCATAAATTATGTTTCATTCAAACAGTCCTTTGGTTTTCACGTGGTGCAAAATTTTACGCACATATCCCAAACAAATTTATTTAGAAAGATAAACCAGAAATAAATCTAAGTCGAAGACAAATACATAGTATAACTCATAGACAGTTTTTTTTTTAAAGGCTACCTCAGTGGCACTCATAAATGACCAGCATTTATATGCGGTATCTTCTCTTTTGATGAACTGCGTGTTGAACTAGACTGTTTCAAAGCAACTGCCCTATTGAATTACAGATACAAAAAGGATTACACTCATTTTAGCATGGAGAATCGGATTTCCATTCTTTAAGAATGACTAAAAACCTCAATTTTTTTCTATCCACAGATGGTACTAATTTGAACACATCATTCCATGCTTCCTGGAGTAATCACACAGCTTGCTTAGATTTTCTAAACATGACTGAACTGTGATGAAGCGATCAACATTCACTGGCAAGGTATTCTGTAAATTACATTTTTATTCATAAATTACTCTTATCTGTGAAGTACTTTCATCATCATTGAAATGAAAGCTATAGAACTATATAAGTGACATTTGTTGTAGGTTGAACGCATGTCAGTTGTTACTGACTATTTAGTAGGGTTCCACTTAGAAGATGAAAGTGTGTATAAAGTGTAATTATTCTCTAAACTTCTGAACATCAATTATGAGCAGTTGCCAACCTCCCATGATAAGATTCTTATGGTAGTCTGTATTGACTTCTCACTGACCTGATTAAGTACACTAACATGAAAGACCAAGTTTCCTTAATTCTTTATTTATGACTATATTTTTATCTTCCACTGCAGAGGTACTTTCTTTTAAGCAAAACAGATGCCTGAAAATTTATATTTATAAATTATATTTATAAAATTTTAAAAAGTATGAACACAATGTTTCCTAGGTTATTAAGAATATTTTTGTCTCTACTAATTTTAAATAATCTACAGTCTTTTTAGAAACACAAAGTACTAATATGTGATCCTATACAAATAAAAGTACAGTTTACCAACACTAACACAGTATGAATCAATATAAAAATAGAAATTCCTACAAAGTTCAGTGCAAAAAATATTTCAGCCTACCAGATACAAATTTTGCACTAATTTGAATTTAATCAATAGCAATTACTGAACATTCACACTGAATGGTGTGAGCAAGTTATTAGTCTTAGGGTATAAGTTGTTTTTCATACACATATGAGAAGTAATTTAGCTAACAGAAACCACCACAAATAGGTGATGCCCAAAGGAAAGTTTCAGTGGAAGAATATCTAGTGGCTAATTTGGAGGAACAATTGAGAATCGGTAAATACGTGCTGGAAAAGATGTTTAAACACAATGAGTATGGGAAAGATATAAGTAGCTACAAATTGTCAAAGTCTAGAAAGTATACTAGACTGGAATAAAGAAAGTTTAAGGAAGTAATAAGAAAAAAGAGGGGGCCATAAAGTGTGTTATGTTACTGAAAGGCACTGAAAGTTTGAGAGGTGAGTTTAGGTAACTACTGGAGGCACTAGAGAGCAATCAACAGAATGAATTTGTAAAGTCTAAACTTAAGAAAAGCCTGAGCCTCCCCATAGCTAGTTAATAGGAAAAGTTTAATTTGATAGAAAGTGGTTAGATGTTGTATATATACAGTACAATGCAGATTACAATAATAACAAAGAATAATTAGAAACAGAGCTTTTAAAAAAGGCAAAAGAATATCAGCAGAATGTGATTATTTTTTTGGGCAGAGAAGAGTACAACATAGAATGAACCCAGGAATCGGGTCAACAGATAAAAAGTACACTGTACACTTCCTAGAGGGAGGCTATGATTTGGCCCTGTGTTACAGAAAGTAATACAAAGGAAAAACTCAAGATTGTAAATCCCTGTGATTATAAATAAAGAAAAATTAAATGAATAAGAAAATGCAATAACCTGTCACTGAGATGAGAGATATATTTCTCTCTCAGAAAAAAATCAGATAAACAGGTTACAATGTAATTTAATGAACAATATCCTCAACAACATCCTTACATAGTAAATGCCAAGTATCTTTAACTTGGCTCTTTGTTACAATGTCTCTCAATGTGACTGAGCAGAGTAACTATCAAACATGGTTTTGTACAACTATTTCTTCAGAGGTTCTAATTATTCAGTTCAGGCACTCTTCTCTCTAGCAGTCTGGCTTACTCCAGAAATATATTTTGGAGTAGCTGGGCCAGAATTTATCAAAATAAACATGATTTCAGGTGGTGTTACAAAGCTGGGAATATGGAATGACACACTGTTATTAGTGTGCCAAATTAAATCATCTTAACATATTCCATTCACATGAAAAAGAACTGAAGAAGTATCTGTAAACAGGAAAAAATTTCCTAAAAATGTTTAAAGTGTCTGTCCTACTGCACGTAGAGATAGACAACTGGGGGACCCAAAACTCTATGGACCACAGATATAATAATAATAGTTTTTAAATCAAGTATTACTGAATGCACAGCTTACTTATAAAAATATCTCAGTAAAACTTTTGTTTTGCTTTGTTTTTGGAGAATACTGTAAACAAAATGGGTTATACATGTTCTGCTTGGAGGGAAAATAAGTTGATTTGTTTTATAAAGTCATTAGTTTGACAGCTCTAGATAGCAAGCCATCTCATGAGAATATCCATCAAAAACGACAAATTTGATTTGAAATTATTTATCTGAAGCAGTTCTTAGGGAGTAATTACATAGCAGTTAGTTGTCTATTAAGAACAACTCTATAACACCTGGAGACTAAATTGAATCATTGACACTAATGAAGAAATGAGACATACTGGTTTGGGGGATTTGTTTGAGGGATTCGAGTAAATTACATGTTAGTTTCATATCTTGTTAACATGAATAAATAGAGATATCTTGGGAGGAGAAGATTGGGTTAGTTAGCCTAAGAGGTCAAGAAAGGCCAATTTGGGATAATTATGCATATATAAGCTTGGAAATCATAAGAGTAAATAAACATTTAAAGGGACTATTTGTATATATAGTTTCACAACAGCAGATGATGAACTGAGTCTCTGTAAAGTTAGTAGTAAACGGGCAGTCAAATAGAACTGGAAAAAAATCATAAAAAAAAACTTAGGTAAGCCCATAATATCTGGCATATATTGATATTAAGAAATATTTGTTTAACAGGGGCACCTGTGTGGCTTACTCGGTTGAGCATCTGACTTTAGCTCAGGTCATAATCTCACGGTTCCTGAGTTTGAGCCCCACATAGGGCTTGCAGCTGTTAGTGTGGAGTCAGCTTTAGATCCTCTGTCCCCACCTCTCTCAGCCCCTCCCCTGCTTATGCACTCTCTCTCTCAAAAATAAAGAAAACATTAGAAAGGAAGTATTTGTTTAACAAATAAATGAACAAATGGATGAATGCATGCACAGATTTCAAGAAGAAAGTGTCACCAATTCTGTAACCAGTATTGATTGATGAACAAGTGTCACCAATGCTGATTGCAATGAAATGCTGCTTGAAACAATTCCTGTTTTCTAAAGAGTGTAGTTGGACAGAAAACCTTGATAGATTAATATATACAAAAGGAATCCTGATCTAAAGTTTGGGGAAAGCTCTACAAAAGAGAAAAAAGAATTTGGAGTTTACAGGGATTCCATGTCTCATGGAATCACACACACACTGGGTAAGGGTGGGGGGAGAGAATAAAAGGAGATGGAAAGAGAAACAACCAATAGAGGAGAAAGGATCAAAAGATCGAGTGAGACTGGGGATTCTGTGAAATAAAGTAGCAAATAGAAAAGTCCCTGATTGGGGGTGCCTGGGTGGCGCAGTCGCTTAAGCGTCCGACTTCAGCCAGGTCACGATCTCGCGGTCCGTGAGTTCGAGCCCCGCGTCAGGCTCTGGGCTGATGGCTCGGAGCCTGGAGCCTGTTTCCGATTCTGTGTCTCCCTCTCTCTCTGCCCCTCCCCCGTTCATGCTCTGTCTCTCTCTGTTCCAAAAATAAATAAACGTTGAAAAAAAATTTTTTTAAAAAAAGAAAAGTCCCTGATTGCCAACATATTTGTAAGAACAAAAATATCTACTACTGTTCCTTTTAGAGTCATGTATATTATTGCAATGTAAACCTCTCTTCTATGTGCTTATCACAAAATATTCAGTAAGGCTATTGTAAATACAATGTTCAGTGTGACTAGAATTGTCAAAATCATGCAACAAATAATTTTGCAGAGGCAGTCAAAAATGTATATCAAAATATTTCAGTGCCCAAATATAGTAAGTTTGAGAATCTGTTTTGATGATACAACAGCAGTTTGTATCAGATTAAATCTCCTGCAGATAACAACCATGCACCCTGGATGGAGGAAACAAACAAACAAACAAACAAACAAACAACTTGTGGCTTGAGGTGTCAGAGAATGGAATGTGAGACTGCCAAAGTAGCTGGAAAAGGAGGGAGCCAAAAAGGGGGTAGGCCTAAATTCTGGGTCTAAACTCCTCTGAAATCCTTGGCTACTCGCTTAATCATACATGTATAAGGACAGACTGAGGAACACAGTGGAAAGAAACAGATGGAAAACTGAGTAGAAATTTTAATTGCTTCCCAGTGCAGGGGAGACAGAATTTGGAGTTTCAATATTTTTAAAATTTTTTTTAAGTTTATTTATTTTTGAAGGAGAAAGAGACAGAACATGAGTGGGGGAAGGGCAGAGAAACTGGGAATTGCAGAATCTGAAGTGGGCTCCAGGCTTCAAGCTGGCAGCACAGAGTCTGACACGGGGCTCCAACTCAGGAACTGTGAGATCAGGACCTGAGCTAAAGTCGGACGCTTAACTGACTGAGCCCCCCAGCCACCCTTGGAATTTGGAGTTTCTTAATTTTTTTTTTCAACGTTTATTTTTTTTTATTTTTGGGATAGAGAGAGACAGAGCATGAACGGGGGAGGGTCAGAGAGAGAGGGAGACACAGAATCGGAAACAGGCTCCAGGCTCCGAGCCATCAGCCCAGAGCCTGACGCGGGGCTCGAACTCACGGACCGCGAGATCGTGACCTGGCTGAAGTCGGACGCTCAACCGACTGCGCCATCCAGGCGCCCTGGAATTTGGAGTTTCAATCCCACCAAATTAAGGGCGTGGTAAATAGCACAGGCCTCATATTAAAATCCTAAAAGGATCATATATTTACTTTATTCTCTGTTCCAGGATCAAGGAATTTCCTCTGTAGATAATAGAGAAACCAAAACCACATACTCACAAAATCATCATTCAGTAATTTAGTAGTCTGTTAGAATAAAGACTAACACTCTTAAGAACAAGATAACAAAATCCAGAGTTTATGCAAAACATCACCAGCAAAGTCTAATATAAGTTTAAAAATTACAAGGCAGGCAGGAAAATTACTAGTGACAGGAAAATGTGACTCATAGTCAAGAGAAAAAAGTGTTCAACAGGAAAAAAAATCACAGAATACCTCAAGTGTA